TGGGCTCAAGCAAGGCTGCTGTTGTCTTTGAACAAGACCAGAAAGGGTTAACTTTGAGGCTGGAAGCTCACAACATTGGTAAAGCGCTTGCCATGAAATCCAGAGACTCTGAGTTTGCTCCCCAGCACCCACTTAAAGCCAGATGCAGCAGGATACACTTGCAACCCCAGTGCTCCCACAGAAAGGTAAGAGGTAGAGACAGAGCTGGAGAGTTGGCCCAGCGGTTAAGAGTAATGGCTGCTCTTCCAGAGGTCCTGAGTTCAATTCCCAGAAACCACATGGTGGCTCACAACCATCTGTAATGAGATCTGGTGCCCTCTTCTGGCCTGCAGAGATACATGGAGACAGAACACTGTACACATAATAAATAAACAAATCTTAAAAAAAAAAAAAAAAAAAAAAAGAGGCAGAGACAGGAGTCTATCTACACAGACTCATGGGCCAGCTAGTCTAGTGTACACAGTTAAAAAAGAAACAAGACACTGTCCCAAATACAATGGAAGCTGAGGCCTCCAAAGCCACAGAGAAACCCTGTCTCTAAAAAAAAAAAAAAAAAGAAAAGAAAAAAACTGGAAGCTGAGGACCAATAGCAACTGTATCCTCTGACCTCTACACACAGACAGAAAAATAAAACTAAGTTTTAAAAGAGAACAATTCAGCTTAATGAGTCCTGTTTATAGTCTGACTTAGGGTGTCATGATACCATTGTAGAGAATTCTTTTTAATGAGCAGGCCCAGGCCACCTACAGTGACCCAAGGAGAAATAACTTAAACTGTAAAATAAAGGATGTTTATCCACCTGAGCAGCTGGATAGGAGCCCACACAAGTGCCCCATTCCATGAGACCTCAACATCCAGGGCACTGTGATATGAACATGGTTCTCACCGCCCTTACAGAACTGGATGCCGAGGTGTAGACAGCTGCTCTCCACTGTCTACACTGTAGCAACAGATTCTCTACTGCCTCTGGTAACCCCTACACACACACACACACACACACACACACCAGACAGACAGACAGACACACACAGATACACACAGATACACACAAAGAGACACACAGACACACAGACACACAGACACACAGACACACAGACACACACACACACACACACACACACACACACACACACACACACACACACGGTTTCAGGCAGCTCAGGCTGGCCTCGAACTCTCAGTCTTCTTGCCTCAACCTCCTGGGTGCTGGAATCACAGGCATGTGCCACCATGCCTGGCTCTGGTAAATTCTTTCACCACCCATTTCCTGAGAGGGCAGTGGTTTTGAAACCTGTGCTAAGGTCACTGAAGACAACTGTGGCTGGGGTGACAGATCTGGGGGTGTGCAGAAGCGAGGCTGGAGGGAGGGACAGGGGGAACGTCAGCTCTGCCTAGTCATTCTAAAACAAGGCTGCCTCCTGCTTTTACTGTGCGTGTCAGGGTGGCAGCGGACAGCATGTCTGCCACCATGCTGATACAGAAGAACTGTGACCATTACATCAAGACAAACAAGCCTGATGGTTCATGCCTGTGCCCCAGCTACTGGGGGCAGGGGGTGGGGAGGCAGGGTGCAGAGTCAGGAACTCCACAGGACCAACAGCTCCTAGGTGACACATGTGGCCACCATCTCAAATTAAAGAGAAAAAGGAGGCTGGGGAGGAGTGCAGTGCTTTGTCTGATTTGTATGAGGCTTAGATTCAAGTACCAGCACCATAAAAAAAGAAAATGAAATAAGCTGGCTCACATCTCTAATCCCTGAACTTAGGTGGGGACCCTGGCTCACACCTCTAGCCCCTCCTGAACTTGGGTAGGGAGACCCTGGTTCACACCTCTAACCCCTGGACTCAGGTGGGGAGACCCTGGCTCACACCTCTAGCCCCTGGACTCAGGCGGGGACCAGATGTTGGATCCACAGGCAGAGGCAGACATACCTCTCTATGTTTGTGCCTAGCCTTGTCTATGTATCGAGTTTCAGAACAGCCAACACTACCGAGAGAGACCCTGTTTCAAACAAACCAACAAATAAAAAACCCATAACAATGAAACAAGCAAACAAAACCACTAGAACAAACCTTAAACCCCAAACCCAAACATCAGAATGATTGCATGCTTTTTATCCACCCCCCCCAAAAAAAAACAACCCCGAGACTGTGTTTGTCAGTGTCCATGCGTGCTTGCTCTGTGTACAGGATGGCCACCGTTTGACATAGGCTTCACTGATGGGCCTCTCTGACAGCTCAGAGTGCTCTCCCATAACGATCCAAAAGTTACCAAAACCTAAAATGGGAAGGGGGTGATCTTCCCTCTCCCATCCTCTAGTGGGTATGATAAACCTATCCAGCCACTTCAGTGAACTTGGGCACCCTCAGACCTAACACGGGAATGGGGGGGGGGCAGAGATTCACTCACTTAACCTGCTCATCTAAGGAAGGCATCTTCCAGGCAGCTGCCTGCTGAATGACACGGAGACTCCGGAGTTAGAGCGCCACCTGGCGGCAGGACTGACAGGTGACTGGTAAACAGCAAGGGTTTGGGAGCATTGGGGGACGGGTTCCTCTTTGGGACATTGCAATCTCTCAGCTGTGACATTTCAGACAAGACCATGAACCTCCTAGAAAGGCCTCACTTTCTCCACCGTGTGTCAGATGTTTCTCACGAGTCTCAGAATTCAGTAGAGCGATGGAGGTAGCTACTCCACCATCGGGAGCTACACAGAGAAGTCCACCTGAGCCACGCAGCAAAACTGCAGCTAACGTGTGGGTCATTTTCAGAGGCAAACAGGCTCTCCGAGGTAAGGGTGCAGGCTCCAGAACCCGAAAGCAGCTGCCCCAGACACTGTGTTGTCAGCAGGCTTGTGGAAGCATTCTTAAGAATACTCCAATTGCTAATACTACCTTGGGTAACAATGGTCTCTGGACACTTAGACCAGACATAAACATCTATGGTGAACTGGTCTCTGACGCAGCCACAAATTCCTATACAAAGTGAGCCTGAGCTAAAGGTTAACTGTCTGACTAACTGCTCTCTCTCTGCTTTGGTAAACAACTCTTGGTTGCTGCAGGGTACAGGGCTGCCTCTCTATATAGTCATGACTGCATTTATTGCCCTTAAAAACTCAAAAAACAAAACTGGAAGTTGAGGCTGCATCTGGCTTGTTGCTCTGTTCGGAACAGTCCTGCTGGTGGTAAATAAAGATTCCATTAGACTTATTCAGGCACCTCAGGAGCTTACTCTTCAGATTCTCCACAACAAAATCATCCAGCCAACTGCAGCCCGCATTTGGCAAATTTCCTCTGTTTAAGCTTAAAAAAAAAAAAAAAAAAAAAAAAAAAAAAAAAGCAAGCCGCTGGGCATTGGTGGCGCATGCCTTTAATCCCAGCACTCGGGAGGCAGAGGCAGGTGGATCTCTGTGAGTTCGAGACCAGCCCAAGAGCTAGTTCCAGGACAGCCTCCAAAACCACAGAGAAACCCTGTCTCGAAAAACAAAAAACAAACAAACAAACAAAAAGCATGCAAGCCTCTTTTACTTGTGTGAAGCAGAATTAAAGAAAGTGGGTTTTTTGTTTTGTTTTTTTCTTTTTTCTGGACCAAGAAGAGGCCGAGCTGGAGATGAGAAAAGGAGCAGGCAGGGTTGGTGCTACTCACATTCTCCAGTGTTCAGAAGGCAATCCCTCGGGGGACGGGCCTCCTCTCGATTCTAGTCAGGAGGCTTCTGTCTATGGAGCGGCTCCTGCTGTCACTGTCAAAGCAACACCTTCATGCTGTTTTCAGAACTGTCTGGGATTTGTTCATCTAGAAGTACCCTGTCTAGAGGGGTCACCTGGCTGGGGGAGCAGGGGCAGGCAAGCACACAGAAGTCCCTGGAAGAGAACACCTGAACGTTGAATTCAGCAGGATAAACTAAACGCCACAGCCTCCATTTAGGTTAGATTTGCTTGTCAGCTTGAGACTCTTAGGCCTGGACCATACTGGCCTTGAGGTGAACCCCATGCTCCTGAGTGTTGGGATTATAGGAGCACACTGTAATTTCCGGTCTTTCTAGGTGGCTAGGTTGTTTCTGGGCAGGTTATCTGTACAAACTGGAGAACAGAAGGGGGCTGTTGGCACTGTGAAACCATTACCACCGTTTTGAGATGTTTTGTGTTGTCCCCATTGTGGCTCTGCGTAGTGAGTTCCAGGCCAGCTGTGAGCCTCTGCCTCCAGAGTGCTGGATTAAAGGCTACAACACCACGGCCTGGTTGCACCACCAGCTTTAAGTTAGATTTGAGTTGTTTAGTTGTTACAGAATTTTGGTGGAGTGGAGACTGCAGAAAACTGGTCCCCAGGGTGTTTCTGTATTTCACGAATCTGTTCCTAACACAGGAACGCAGACTCCTGCTTAACTCCACACCAGGTTTCACGACCGATGGTCATCCCAGCCGATCACGTGACAGACAGCCCGGATACTTTGTAAGAGTTTGTGGCAAATCACAAAGGTTGCTATTGTTTTAATTCCACACAGAGAGAAGCAAACTTCTTCGATCTGGGATTTGACCTCAGAGCAATCAGCCACAAGGCTGTGCTACAGGCAAACAGCCATCAAAGAAACAAAGTAATCACTAATCCTGAAAGATAGGAAATGTAAAGGAAAAGTTGCAAGCAGGGTGGCTGGGTGTGCTGCGGCATGCCTGCAATCTCAGCCCTTGGGATGCTGAGCCTGAAACCCCAACTCAAAAGAACAACAAAAACCCCAAAACAGTCACACACTAAACAGCCCCGAGTACACACACACACACACACACCCCTACCTACCTACCTACCTTAGTTGACGTTTGGGCAATTTTGGAATAAGCTTATCTGTTACTGTAATGCATACCAACCCCATCAACTGCTTCAGCGGGCCCTAAGGACGAACTAACTAGCTTATTTCCCAATTATTTTTGCTGCTGTTGCAGACAGGGTCTCTCTATGTAGTCCTGGAGCGCACTGTGCAGACCAGGCCGGGCTGGCCTCGAACTCACAGAGATCCTCCTGCCCCTGCGTGTTCAGGTCAAAGGTGTGCGCCAACGCACCGGGCCTTCCTTGCAGCTCCGATCGGC